CTGGATCTGTTGCGAAAACGTCAACATTAACCTAGGACTTGATACTACTCTGAATATGTAGTCAACAAGGCCACCTGGTCGAATTTGAAGTGGTAAGTTACCACGAATACCACTGTTAACAAGACACTACTTGTAAATTGCACTTGTTTCCTGTTTGAATAGCTACGCTTAAATTATACTTTTCCTTTCACATTCTTTACCTTACTACGATTCACATTCAATGTTCACATTTTTTTCGGAGCCAGGCTCTGTATTTTTCCCTCCTTTACCAAAACAGTCCAAAGAATAATCAAACCCACGTAACCATTACGTGCTTCTAATACCCAGTGTGATGGTACAAAGTAGGCTGGTTACGCATCATCCAAACGTTTCGAGAACCGAATATACGTTAACAGTTAGTTTACACTACGATAGTCATACCGAGTTGTTACTAATTTTGGTAACTATCAGGTGACCGTCACTTCAGTAGTCACTTGATCCACTGAAGTCAAATCAAAAACAGGCGGGTTGAACAGGGATTCTGTAAACGTTTGATCGTTCCTGTAACGTCTATCGACTGCTGGACCCACAACAATTGTATCAAATATACAAGCGCGTGTCTAAGATAAGCTAGAAGAGACTCACCAATGAGAAATCTTGCTTTCGGTTGCATTCGAACCACCAACAGAAACAGCAAGTCCCGCCAGGAGCTCGGAAATTTCACACTTGAAATTTGTTACCCATCTGTCCCACCGTCTCACGGAATCTACCAAGTAATCCGGGGGTAGACTACCCGACAAGACTTATCAATCCGTTCATGCTGGAATCCAGTGTGTGGTAGAACTTCAGTCCCATTAGGTGACCGCATACGGTCAGATGCGGACGGTTTTTTTTAAATCTTCGTTTTAACACAGTAAACAAAATGACTAGTGAGAAAAACGAACAGGTTTCTAACAAACCTCATGTGAAAATCCACACTGCATTTCTTAACATCAAGAGGGATGTGGAAGATACCCCAAGGTCAAAAAACAAACAACACAACTTTCATGAAGGTGAACGAAACACGATATACAAACATGAAGTAATAAGAGGTTGTGGAAACGAATTTAACTCAGTTTGAAGCCAAATGGAGTCTAGCAGACTTTTATCATCACAGTTTATATAGATTCAAGAGAACTTAATACTCTTGAAGAATCCTAATTCACGAGGCGTTTAAAAGGTGTCAAATTCAGTTTCTGATAGACATGACAACAATTCATCACGTGGTAATGCAATCGGTCAAAAAGAACGGCAAATGCTCAACGTGGTCAGTCATACGGTATACGCATACAACATGGTCCAGTCAAAATCACCGTTCGCAGCATCACCAGCGGTGACCGTTTTGAGAACTGGGAAGATCATGACATTTTGAACGATGCAGCTAGACATCTATCTATAAAGTATCCATGTGATCGTGATATTAGACATCTGCAGTGAGTTGTTCCGTTGGAAAACTATAAACCGCTGCCAATGTAGGAAAAAGGGGTAACAGAAAGTGTCTCGGCCTACAGATCAAATACCCGGCATCCTGATTACCATCCGGAATGATGGGTTCACTCATACAAATGGCAGGAAATGTTCCTGCATGATCAGTGAAAGGCTGACGTCATCAGAACACACTGCTCTTTTGAAGTTAGCATGCAGATAACGTCTGCATATATAGGAACATTCCTTTAGAATATTTTTCTGAACAAAACAAAGAAACTGTCAACTCAGAGTGTATACTTTCAGTTAGCTCTTTCCCAAATTCCAGGTTAGCCCTGTCCATAAATTTCTATCTCTGCTCATATACGTCGTTCAGTTTCTGCGTTTCAGCCTTGTCTCTCATTACTGCAGGCATTCGAGTCAGAGGAAGAAATTTCCGAAACGTCCTACATTTCATTCTCGTCAATAATCGGTTGATCCATTAAACCATCAAATCGTCGGCAGGTCAGCTTACAATGTAGATAATATCGACTTACACTACTGTCTGTTAACCAGTAGTCAGGTTAAAAGGAAGCCAACTACGTCATTGAGTTAGGACAAGTCGTATTCACTGACGAATAAATCCCTGACACAATAGCCCATCCGTTTATCACATGACCAAGTTGAATTCTACAATGACGTGGGTATTTGTTGTGCGGATTCCATGTAGCGTCCGGAGATAACAACCCCTGAACACAAATTTAAAAGATACCAGTAGAAACTCATCT